CTACTAGGAACAAGTGCATCGCTACTAGGAGCAAGTGCCTTATTAGTTTTGGTTTTGCAAGGAGTTTGCGGATTGCAAACAATGTGTCCACAATACATTTCATTAGCCAAAATGGCCTTCCATTTTGGCTCAAGGATCAGCCCCTGATCCATCAAAGATCGAACTTTTGCGAACTTTTGCGACTTTCGCTTTTTCGCTCTTTTCTGACTTTCGCCGCCATGGCTGAACTTTTCGACTTCGAGCTTTTGGACTCTGCGGAGGATTTTGTGATCCTGGGAGAGGATCCCATGGAGCAGGAGGTGGCAGCCGCTGAGACTGCCCAGATTGCCGCTGATCAAGATGAGATGGCCATTTTGGCCGACTACGTGATCCCCGCGGACACGACCCCCGCTGACCTGGAGCGGGACTTGGAGGCGATGGTGAGTGGCATCACCTCTCTCTCCTTGCAGGCCTGTGCGGAGGCCTCTGCTGGACTTGCGAGCCCTACCTTGGCTCCTCCTCCTACGGCATCTTCCATGGCTGAGGATCCAAAGGCGGTGCCAAGCAGCCGCAAACGCCCCTTGGATCAGGCGGACGACGCGGGAGTCCCGGCAGGTGCCCCTGGCCCTGATACTGGGATTCCGTCAGCGAATCCCTCTGAAACTGGTGCCTTGGAGGGGGGTGACCATTCGAGAGACTCGGCAGGTGCTTCACGCCCTGACACCGAGACTCAACAGGATGTGTCATCCTCCCCTGTACCGGCCTCAGGGGCTTTGTCGCTGCTGGGCAAGCAGCTGCCGCCGGTGCCTTCCTCGACTTTGCGGACGAGCGTGGACACTGAGGTACCGATGGAGCAGCGCTTGCAGGATCCTGTGACCTACTCCTTCGCCCAGGACGGGAACATCCTTCTGACCAATGTCATGGCTGGCCTTCCCTGCCTCCCGAAGAAACTGCCGCAGCCGCTGCGGAGCATCCAGGTGGGGGAGATCGTTGAGCTTTGCCTCAAGTTCGACGTGACCAAGCTCACCCCGCCGGCCTTTGCTCGCATTGTTGAGGTCTATGCCATCGCCAAGGCCAAGCACTTGGTGCAGGAGATTTGGGAGGCCAAGCACTTGCCCAAAGGGGCACGCTCCATGGAGAAGCTGACGACCCTCCCGGAGGTGGAGGACAAGCTGCCCTACATGTGCGCCAGCTGCTTCACGAGCTGGATCTTGCCGGCCGCCAAGAAGTGCCTCCACTGTGGCTCTATGGAGGGGAAGGTTCCGACGGCTCTGCCCTCAGCCTCGGTGACTGTGGATGGCGTCACTTGGACCATGACCTTTGACGCGGACAAGCAGCTCTGTTGGCAGTCAGATGCCCCCGATTTGGGGGACACCCAGAAGTCCCTTTGCTCGGTGGAGGTTAGCAGCCTTGGTCAGAAGCCTCCCATGGTGGGGGCCACCCCGAGTGAGGTCACCTTCAGTGAATTGGTGAGCGACTCAAGCCGCATGACCCTCCGCCAGGAGGTCTTGAAGAGAGGGACGATGAGGTCTTCCACAAGGAGGTCTCCAAGAAGCCCCAGGGTGATGGACCACGACCCGGGCCAGGAGACCGTCACTTTCCACCCCACCAACGTGAAGGCGATGCGACTGGTCTCGGAGCTTGGGCAGGCGGAACGCCGTGAGAAAAAGGAGGCCAGGGTGGACCCCCAGATGGACGTGGTCTATGAGCTTCGGGGTTTGACACGGTGCCGGATGCGGAGGCGCATGGAGCAGCGGTTCTCAGGCGCCTGGACGTTGAGAAGTTCCGCTCCTTCCTCAAGCGCAAGTGGCAGGATGAGAAGGGGCAGCCTCAGGACGCCCTCCTCGCATCCCAAACCACATTGGAGCGGAAGCAGAAGCGCAAGCTGGAGCTCCTCCTCCCCACCTATGACACCATCAGCGTGTGGCCGGAGAAGGTCCGGAAGGCCCTGGAGAGTGGTCTGGCGACCAGTTCCAGGACGTGAGAGGCCTACCTGCGCACCAGGGAGCTCATCAAGCAGGGTACCAGCCCCTACCAGCCGCGGCTCTTGGAGGAGATTGTGGACTGCCCCCTCAACATGCAGTTCATGGAGTACCAGGACGAAACCCCCACAGGTGCCTCAGGCCCTGATATGGGGGGTTCAGCTGCCTCGGGCTCCAAGTTGGCCATGATCCATGCCATGCTGGGCTACCACAAGGGCGAGGTCCGTGCCTATGGTGGGCAATGGACGACGGCGCCGGGCCCAATGGTTGTTCCGGAATGGGCTTCCAAGAAGGTCGACGCGGAGGCGGTCTGGGCCTTGGAGCGTCGCACACACCCCTACAACCTGAACGTCCGCTGGGGCGACCTGGTGGTGTACACCTCGCAGGATTGAGGGCCACATTGCGCGCCAGGAGCGGCCGGCCATTGCATCGGTGGTGGGCCTCTTCTGGGCCCCTGGTGATGATGGAGCGGACTGGCACTGGCGCCGGGACGTCTCCACATGGACCCTGCCGGCTTCTACTGGGGGCACTGGGCTATGAGTACACCCTGAAGGAGTTGTACAACATCTGGCGTTACCCGGGGCGGCTATGTGTGCAAGCGCTGCAAGGGCTTCTGGAAATCCAAGCGGGCCTCCAGCCGCTTTGTGCAGATAGGCAAGGGCAAGAGGGTGTCCCTCCAGCTGATCCTGGACGAGCCTCCCCAGGACCTCTACAACCGCTGGATCAAGTCCAGAATCGCCTGGACGCTCCAACGGTGTGCTTTGGACATCGTTTCTCCCCACGGCAAGTCCACCTTGCCGTTTGTACCAAACATGCCGTTTGTATAGCTATCCCCTGCGCGTATGCTGCCCAGCAAGGCTATATGTGAAGCATGGCCCGTATGCTTGTGGAGAGAGCCTGTCCTGACTCTAAATTTCCAGCCAAGTGTAGGGAAGAGACTTTCACAGTAAAGGGCTAATGAAACAACCTTATTGAAATTCCCTGGGTACACTTCCGTTGGAAAAACTTTTTTCATGTGCGCGTGCGTGTGCGTGTGCTCGCGTGTGTTTTCTAGATGTTTTTGAGTTCGGGTCGAATTCTGAGTGGCCCATGGGCCCCTGCCGTTTTTTCCAAGAGAGACTTCTTTTTTTTTTCGGCCTTCGGTCGCGGGTCGAGCGGCTTCGCGCTCCCACTGCTGCTCGAAAGGGGGTGCAGCCTTCCGCACAGGGGTCTTACAACTAGCAATGCATGGAGCGACCCAAAGCCAACTAGTGAACAGTGAGTTCCAATTAGCCAGGCCCACCTCTAGCGAGCGTGAGATTTGCAGGGTATAGGGTTTTCCTGCTCTGTTTTTTCAAGCGGTTGTCTGCCATGGGGGACGCGCAAGCCTTGCTTGCAAAGACCGGAGGCGCACCCCGATCTGCAGCAGTCAACAACGCGTGCTTTGCTAGCGTCAGCGCTCCAACCTACCTTTAGATGTTGTTATTCCCTTTAGGTGTTCAAGACTTAAGACTCCAATCTCTTTCCGTGGAAACCAGCACCAAAAAATTTCAGGTCGCGTGAAGTAATTCAGAAAGGTAGTTGCTCGTGGGTTGTAAAAACAAAGGCACATTTGGGGTGATCCCGGAGAGACTTCATGTCATGGCGTTTTGTCTTCAAAGGTTCATGAAACCTGGCAGCTGAAGCGTGACTCCGATCGCCGCTCGAGGTGAAACCGATTGGCGCGCTGCGCCTTCGAGCAGGTTGCGCTGAAGCGACAAGTCAGTGTTAATGACTGTGAATGGAATCCATGTCAAAAAAAACAGAGAAGGCCTTGAAGTGATTCAACTGCAAAACCTATACTGCTGCTTTAAAGACTAGTTGAATGCCGTGTTGTTCATTCATGATGACCCTCATCTCCGGTGCAGGTGAAACCGGCTCCGCCAGAGTGCGCCCTCTCCGATTCAACCAGCTGTGAAGGAACGAGTGGAGGCGTTCATGCAACTGTTTTTCGTGGAAGTGTGGAAAAATCCATTGTTCATGCATGGTCTGACTCATGCATGTCCCTCTTTGACAGAAACTGTTGGCTCACCTGTGTACTGCCTTCCATCTCAGCTCCTTCCTCTCTCATGGCGGTTGAGCAGAACGTCGAGTACGTTGATTTCCTGCGAGGGTGGAAATCAGTCCGTTGGGTTCCAAGTTCATGTCGACTGAATATGTTTTTACCTTTCTTGGGGGATGGCAAAAGTCTGGGGCGTCCCGAGGCCCTGGTCGTGTATCTTGGAATGAGACCGACGTAGCACCTAGCCTTATAACCTGGCATTTCTTTCGTGTTTGGTGTGACAAGGAAAGCGTTACGGCCGTTACGGCGTAGTTTTTTACAAGGTGCAAAGATTTAGATATCATGAAATCCCATGTCCGTGTGACAGGCTCGGGTGGCAACTTCTATGAAAGCGCACCTTCCGGTGGCTGTTTTGAACATGATGGAGAATGGCACATGGAGTGGTGTTTCGCTCATCCAGCTGAGCAGCGATGTAACCAAGCCTACCTGTGACGAGTTGGCGCAAAACCATTGCCTGCTCAAACCTTTGGTTTTGAGTTTCCCCAAAGCGGTCTTTTGTCCAAGTCTTGGCAGAGAGTTTATGTCATTTACCTACCTATGATACGCCCACGCACACGTCTGTATGTACATGACTGCATTGAGTGCTAGGTAAAATGAACCGTATGGGAAGCTTCAGGTTCCATCAGCCTACATGCTCACCGACTGCTACCTCTACTTGGACCGTCTACTGGATAAGAAGGTCTTCAAGCCCCAGCAAGATGAGAGCCGGATGGTGATGGCGGGGAGGGAAGGTGTCAAAGCCAAAAGGTGCCTTGGTGCTCTGCGCGCCCTGTGGAGATCTTCTAAGAAAGCATGGGACCCTCGCATCCAAGACTTGAAGGCCTGCTTGGAGAGAAGCCCAGCAAGGCGCAGCAGAAGCCCAGAGACTAGTATGTATAATTAGAACGTTGTGATTGCGTGTATTTTTGTACAAAAAGTATGCAACTTTCCAATGAAAGCTCACTTGCGACAACTTGCGATCTATAAGTTTCTTTGTAGTGATGCGAACTAGGAAGATCGCCCTGCTGAAGCTGCTGGTGCTCTGGCTGATGGCGCTGATGATGTTGCTGAAGGTGGGTGGTGGCTAAACACTACAAATCGCATGTCAGCATGCCATTCCGTGAGAGGTTGAAAGGATCTTTCTCTTTTGGGTCCTTTCAACCTCTCCTGCATGGTTATTGCCCCTTGTAGGTGGTGATGACGTTGGTGGCAATGATTCTCCAGCAGACGTCGCTGATCACTGTGAGTCTGGGGGTGAAGAGGCGTCTGATGGTGAGGGCTCTCATGGTGAGTTCTCTGGCGGTGAGGACTCTGATGGTGAGGGCTCTGATGATGAAGGCTCAAACAATGAGGGCTCAAACAATGAGGGCTCAAACAATGAGGG